GTGAGATGGTAGGAAAGAAAAGCCAAAAATTTAGGGCATGTACAGAAATCATGTATAGTGGTATAGGATATGACCTAGTCTAGGTAAAAAGAAAAGTGAGGAAGGGAGTGAAAGGGACGACATTTTATGAGGATCAGTGAAAGCCTCGGTGTTGATAAAATATTTTTAGAGTTGAGAGAGTAGCAGAAATGAATGGAAATAAGAAGTTAATGATGAGAAAGTGGGATATTACAATGGATATAATAAAGAGTACTTTATTAGGCAGTGTAATATTTTGGTATGGCTGAGGCAAAAATAACTGTAGGGAAAGGGAGTCAACACCTGGTTATTGGGACACTCTTGTATGTGAAAGTTGACATCATGAAGGAATAAGGAAGAAGTTCTGTCAAGTTTAGAAGTCAAGCAAAAATGAGAAATGAAAGGAAATATTTGAGAGTGAATTGATAGTGCAAACGAGGAATGGTAGAAGAAATAATGCCATGAAATGAGATTTATCTTGGTGGAGACAGTGAATGATTTTATAGAGAAAGGGAGGGGGGAAATTTGGAAGAAACAATGAATAGATAACACTCATGCTGCCTCCTGTTTCCAGTTATCAAGTTCTAATGACCAGTAGCTGGTTTTCTAATCTCATATACACTACGAGGTAGGGAAGTGAGCATATTCATCCCTAGTTTGCTGGCCCCGAAAGATGAGATGATGAGCTGAAGTAGTAGTGCCTGGAGAAGAGAGGGCATGGCAGGAAAATGCTGAGTGTAGTGGGAAGATTTTGGGAAAATAAATAAATCCAAGGGAGCAAAGGAGGTCCAGGGTGATTTTTAGATTTCATTTTGGATAAGACAATGAGCTCACCCAAAATAGAAAGAATTGGAACATAAGGGATGAAGGTGGAATAATCAACCTTACTTTTGATTTGTTTAATATAAGTGTCATTTGAATTAGATAGGTCCAAGGGGCAATCTGGTGTTTTAGGATAGCAATCTGGGTTGAAGACTAGAATTAGAAATAATCTATCTATCTATCTATCTATCTATCTGTCTATCATCTATCTATCATCTCTCTGTGTTGAATTTACAATGATAGATGATATCACGATGCAAAAGTTTCCTGAGACAAGAGGAGTAGGTTGAATTTACTTCATTTGCTTTCTTCTCACTTAGCTGTACTCAGTTTCACTGGTATTACATTACTCATTTCATAGTTTTGTTCACTTTTATACTTAACCCAAAGGAACATTATAGCCAAAGCTTTTGGTTAGAGAAAAGAATAAAAATCTACTCAGAGTTTCTCAGGTCAAAGCAAATGGGAGTTATTGCAAAGTCTCAGAGGAACAGTTATTGAGACACCATCAAATTTCATGTGAAGTGGAAGCAAGAATGGCAAATCCAAGAACCAATACTCGTCTCACAGCATCCCTAGGATGCTGTTAGCTCTTGCTCTGTATGAATCTGCAGAACTGTTATCTCTTTATCAGCTTCCACTCTTCCTTTCCAACGAGTTCTCATACAGTCCAATATGACGCTCACAGTAACCAGTGTGCACGGATACCCTTGTTTCACTATTAAAAACAAGAAGTGCTGGCTCAGTGGATCTGTCCTTGCCTTGTTATTGATCTTAGGCCGGTAATGGGGGCTGCTCCCTAGGAAACGGTAGTACTAGTGTCCTGTGATTCAAGTGTGCAGTTGAAGTTGAGGGCCTCATGTGGGTGGTGCGTGTCTCCCCCAGAAACTTTGGGTAGTCAGACTTAATCATTCAAATATAAATAAGATGCTTTATAACACTGCTGATCCTAAATAATCAGTATTTTTAATGATACTTAAAGAGTTGAACTTTGTATTTCAATCTACTCTTGTGATAAAGGCAAACAGCTGTTTGTTAAATCTATAAACTTTGATTATAACAAGTTAATCTGGCAGAGATTGATACTGATACTATAGTGTAATGCCAATGCGGAAATGACCAAGAGATTAATAGTGCAATAGTATGCTGTTGTGTTCGTAATTTTACCCTCTAAACAGTTTTACTTGTAGTAATTTACGTTATTTGACTTTATTCGATATTAGCATATTTTTTCCCCAAAGTCTACTATTATTTCGCTTCATTACTTAACCACATTGATTGATTGGGACATTATTGTTGGCAGAACATATTTCTGGTCACCCTGTGGAACAGCAAAGGAAAAGCAAAAGAATTGTTTCTCCAAGAGTAATTTGGTTTTCTCAGAGAGGATAAAAATCTGTTAGAAAATGAATTAGAATTTTTTAGACCATATGACATTGATATAAATGAAACTACATTTAATTTCTGTAGGAATCTGAGATTGATGCAGTCATATAGCGCAGCAGTTTTTCTTCAAGTTCAAAAGAGATTAAAAGATAGAAAATTGGCAATGTAAATAGGCCTCAGAGAGGCAGAAACTAAATTTCTATTATTCTCACTGACTAATACAGCAACACTTGGGATTTATTCCTTTGTGATACATCAGAGGAGGGGGAATTTTGTTATATAAACATTTTGGCGAATTTTGGGGAAGTGAACAAATTCTAAACTTACCATGATAATTTGACTCTGTTCTTTGAGATTCTAGAAAGAATTGAATTATCTCTCTTAAGGTTAATCATTAATTTGTCTTCTTAGCACTTTAGGAATGTTGAAATGTTAAATATTAGGGAAGGGGATGTATGCTTATCATTATTTTCCTATCATGTATTCAGTGTTTTAACATGTATATTCAAATTCTCCACTAGAAGAGTGATCATTGAACACGACTGTATTAATTACGTGCTGCTGAGTTACAAATTATCCTAAATCTGAGCAGCTCAAAGCAATAAACCTTTATTAGTTGAAAGTTTCTGTGAGTCAGTAATTTGGAAGTAGTAAAGCCAGATGGTCTGGCTCAGGCTCTTTCCTGAGGCTGTGGTCAACATGTTGGCCAGGCCCACAGTCATCTAAAGACCTGACTGGGGCTGGTGGATGACTCTCTTCCAAGGTGGCCCGCTCAACAGCTGTTGGCAGGAGGTGTCAGTTACCAGTTAGCTGTTGCCAGGAGGCCTGTGTTCCTTGCTAGATGTTCTAGGAAGTCTTAGTTCCTCGTTGTAGGGTCACTTGGGTGTACTCATGACATCGCAACTGGCTTTCCCAGAGAAAATGGTCCAAGTAAGCAAAGTAGAAGTCCCAATGCCTTTTGGAGCCAAGCTTTGGAAGTTGCACACCATAATTTATTCTATAGTCTATGGGTTCCACACGTCAGCACTACTCCATGTAGAAGGAGACTCCACAAATGCAAGTCCTAGGGTGGAGCTCATTTTGGAGATCACCATAAAAATCTTTGCAGAAACAAAGCCAGAACTTTCCCCATTCAGGCACAAAATACTGCCTCATAAACAACCCTTTGAAGATGCTGTGTTTTGCGAGCAATCCACCAGAGACAAGCCTCCTCTTTCACAGAAGACAAACAGGGTTGAGGCAGGGAGGTTTTATTCATTTTCTCAAGTCCACTTTCTTCCATCTCAGTGTTAATTACTGATCAGGATGAGTTCCCTTTATTGGTCCTGTGCTTTTATAATAAAAATACTTGAGTATATTTTTGTTACTATCTATGCAAAGACTGTCCCACAAAGGCCTGTGGGTTGAAGGCTTAGTCTTGAGTTGGCGCCCTAAAGAGGTGGTGTAGCAATTAATGAATGGGGGCTATTGGGAGCCTTCAGGTCATTGGAGGTGGAGCCTCAGAGGGCTTACGGGACTCTCCATGGCTTATCCACATTCAGACCACGAGGTGGATGCCTTTGGTGTCCCACAGATCCCCACAATTATATGTGGGGCTCTCCACCTCCTGCTAGAGGAATAAAAGCAATTTGCCTGATTGTAGACTGAAGTCTCTGAGACAATGACACTTCTCGCTAAGTTATTATTTTATGTACTTGTTACAGTAATCGAAAGCTGACTTGCACAATATTCCTCACAAATGTACATTTATTTATGCACTGTATGCGAGTGCCAGTGTCAATCTATTTACTAAATATTGACTTACTTTTCTTATTTTTTTAGACAAGAATGAATCTAAATGGAAGTTCTACTACTTTCTCCTCATTCTTTGGTGAATGCTTTTGCACTACACACCCCAAAGCTCAGACCCCTTATCCAAATGATACAAAAATGAAGATCATCATTTCACATGGAGCGAAAACAGAAGGTGCTAAAGAAGACAAATAATCGTGGTGAAAATGTTGGTTAAAGAGGAAAAGATATTCAAGGCACCACTTCCTGCTGAGGGCTTTCCTCTCTACCTACCAACAGCAGATCTCTCTCACACTTAGCTCTCACACTTTGCCCTCCATGGTGGTAGAGCTTGGCTGGAACATTTGGCAGTCCAGTATCATCTGCAGAACATTTACCAGCAATATTAACTGTTTGGTTAATCTTCTCTTGATACAGAAGGAGAACTCTCTTATGTAAATTTTTCTAAAGTTGTTAAAGACTGTAGGTCAATAATTGCTTAGGCCTGAAAATCATTGTGCTCAAATAAATATTTGGAATATTTGTGACCTGCCACTTTTCTCCTGATAGGTATCTGATTCAAGATCTATACGCATCTAGGGAGATAAAAATTTTTTATTTCTTTAGCAATGATCTGTTCCCCTGGTAAACTTAGGACACAGAATAGATAAAGAGCTTTTTGACTATGAACTTTGTACGAAATCTGTTCTTCTGATGAATAACAGTAAAGTTTAAATATTACTAAATGACCCCACCAAAAATTTTCCATGCTCTCCGTTTAAATCTGCTTTTGTATCTGGCTTCTTGTGGTGAAATCACATCTGCATTTTCAAAATTTGCATTTTTGAGATCAGATATCAACATTTGCTTTATCTGGATGTTTTCATATTTCCAAATGTTATGACATGAAGAAATGTTATTTCCTAAATGAACAAGTTTTGTCATGGTTAATGTACTTTAGATATCTGTATGTGTTTATAAAAAGCTCTGAATGATGAAACCATATTCAACCACAATGATTTCATGTGTGATTTTACTTTAAAAATTCTGGAATTATGAAATATACCTTAGGCAGGATGGCAACTTTTCTTGCAAAATACAATCTCAGGCATCTTATTGCCTTCTTTATATGTTCATCTTTCTCCAAATGTAAAACTCTAGTAAGAAAGTTTGCTTAATTTTTTTTTTTTGTTTACCTTAAGTCACTTTTTCTCCTACTGTTTAGAGTGGGCCATTAATTTTAAAATAGAATTAGCTCTATAATTATGATTAAAACTGGAAAATACATTGTTTTTGTAATGGTGGTATCTTCAAATTATGTAATTGTCTTTATTTTTTTGTTTTTCTTTTGTAGAGAATAAAAAACAAAATGATACAGAATTTCAAAACAAGATGATAGGAAATTAACAATCATTCTGTTGCATATTGTTATCTTCAAAGTAGTTGTTCAGATTACTAGATACAGGCATGCAAAACTGATCAAACAATATAAGCAATAACTATTATTTTCAATGACCTAATAGACATTAGTAGTACAATTATCTTAGTTATCTTCTGTGTGTGTGTGTGTGTGTGTGTGTACACTTCCTTCTTTTTTTTCTTTTCTTTCTTTCTTTTCTCCTTTCCCCTATCCAGTCGTTCTTTCTTTTTGAGCAGAGTCCCATTTGACCTAGCTATTCCCTTTCTGGGTATTTTTCCAAAGAAATGAAAACATCATACTACAGTGATATATGTACATCAATGTTTATAGCAGTACAATTTGTCATAGTTAGATCTTGGAAACAAATGAAATGCCTGTCAACTTGGGAATGGATAAAAAAGATGTGGTATTTTTATACAATGGAGTATTACTCAGCTATAAAGATGAACTTGAGGCTTTTATAGGTAAATGGATGCAAATAGAGACTATACTCATAAGTGAAATATATCAGACTCACATGTGTAAACATCATATTGTCTCCCTAGTGTAAGAAACTGAAAGAGTAAATAAGATCCAAAAGTTACAATAATATTGTGAAAGGGAAAGTAACTGCTCAAAAGGAAAGAACAACTTGTCTTTATTTTTATACTGCTTCAAAGCTGCAAGAAACCCTGACGTGACTGATAAAGGAGAAGGATAAGTGGATGTAAACTAAATTTCTTTTAAATAGATAATATTGTTTTTTTCTGGAATGTAAGTGAATCAAAACAACTTACTTGTACTGAGACATTCACAATGAATCTTATCAAAGAAATGGGTGACGATGGATGTGTGTTGCTCTGCTTTTCATAATTATTTGTTATTAATTTTTGTAATCTAGGAAAATGTAGCCTCGGAAATAATTTAGAATGAGGTAGACCATGATATTTCCTACAATAAAAGCATTTCGTATTTCCACATTAAGATAACGGGTCAACAACATGGGTCTTAGAAGCCTTTAATGAGTATTTGAAAGCCTTAGCACAGAATCTGAAAGCCAAATAAAGCAAGTATTAGTTTGGGCTTCAGGAGCAAATACTTTTAGTCTTTGATGATTGAAGTTAAGAATCAGGATGGATGCTCCTGCAGAGCCAGACTATAAATGGAGTATAGTCTCTCCCGTGAGTACTTTCATTTTCAGACAAATTTAGAAAAATCCTGAATCTCTTCTGGAGTGAACATCAGTAAAGCTGGGAGTCTTTCCAAGAGAGCACAGAGGGACATATCCAGAATCTGAATGTCTGTCACACGAGGGATGTCAGAGAAACACTCGCACTACAACTGTATTGTCAGTGGGCTGGCTGGTTGTTGTAGTAAAGTCAGTGTTACAGGTGGGATGTAGAAAATTTACGGCCTTAGGTCAGAAGATGGGCCTGGAATCATCTCTTGAATGTGAGAAATGACATTAAGAGAACTGGCTTTGCTGATCCTTCTACAGTTGGAAGGCCCCGAATGTGACCATTATTTTGATGATCACATTCAGTGAAAAATGGGGAAAAAGGGAAAAAAGATAACTTATCAACAAGATAATAATTTGTAAATAAATTTGAGCTATCAAGACTCCAAAGAAACAGAAAAATGTGCATTTATGTTAGCTACATAGTAATGAATGAAATAGTAACACGAGAGCAGAAAAGTGGAAGAAGGGAAGAAAAAAACCCAAAATTGTGAAAGTCAACATTCAAGTCTGCAGCTTACACCATGATTTAAAGACATATATATTTACATAGAATTATTCTGTGTTAGTGGATACTTTACACTGTACAATTATTTTTTAATCTAAAAGAATTATTTGATATGTGAAGAATGATCCAAGAGAGTTTTTGTAAGAGTTTGCAAATAAATATGAATCTTAATTCTAGACTTGGCCCTTCGAGAGAACAGTGATCTCTAGCCTTAGCGTTCGGCATTGTTAAAGCGAAGCTGAACCGAATAGTAATGATGTCAATGGCTCAGGCAAAGAAGCTAAGTTTCTTGGAACTGTAGCTCTGGGGGTCTGTATCCTGACACCCATTTGCTTTCTAATATTCAACATCTACTGTGGGAAGACAAAGAATTCCTATTCTTGTCCAATTCTGCAACTGAGGACACAGCTCAGAGAAGGAAATATGTACTAACGTACATGTTTAGGCTCTCCTTGGGATCATGTCAGCCTTATAATAAAAAGAGCTAACAGTTTTGTAACATTCCCTATATGCCAGGCACTGTCATAAATTGTGAGTGTGCTAATTCTTGAATCCTCACGACAGCCACGGAGTCAGTTATTATCCCTGTCCGATACGCGGGAAGCCGACTGTGCCCGACGTCCCTGAACTTGGAGCTGTGAAGGAGCCAGGGTCTGAATCCGGACCCCCGGTTTTTCTAGAGTCAGTGCTCTTTTCCACCTGGTTCTTTCCTTTCCAGCTTCAGAGCTTCTCCCCTGTGCCCGCTTTCATTTCCTTAAATGTGTCTTGCTATTTTTCTCATTAAGGTGTCTGTTCCTTTAAATTAATTTCCAAACTCTTCCTCTTTCATCTGCGAGTTTTTCAGATGTGAGCTGAGGTAGTATTTCTCTGGAGAAGCATTCTTCACCCTCCGTGCTTCACCGCGTGTCACTTATGATGGTTGCAAAGATATAAACATGACTTTAGTGTGCACTTTCTCCATCACTTCAGGAAACAGATGTCCATTTTACTTACCCTGGTACTCCTAATTCAGTGAATTGACTAAATGGGTGATCAGCAGTGAATGAAGACTGAATGTCTATGTTTAAATGACAGCATAAATTCCAGGGTATAATACCTTTTTAAAGAGAAAACAAAGCATACTTTTGTATTCTGCGTCGATGGAATGGAAGCTGATACGTTTTAAAGTGTAATTAAATGTCTTTATATGACATTTTTGCTTTTCTGTGGTAAACTGAAAACCTTATGAATACCTTTGGTCTTCATTCTCCTCTGATTAAAAATTTTAAAATATTCAAAGCATAAACCAATTTATTAACGAGCGTTAACATTTAGTCTGAATCAATCTGGTTGGAAACAATAATTTTCCATTCATCGGTTAAATTCTCTGTGAATATTTCCTTTCATAATGAAACTATTTCAACTTAATGAAGTGTTAGTTACTGGAACAAAAATTATAGCCTCAAAAGAATTAATAGTTCCACCAAATTGTGCCTGTCTTACCACAATGCTATTGGTAGTAGAGGGACTGGGTAAGCTGTAAACACATTAAAGACTGGCGCTGGGTCTGTGGGGGCTCACTTATCCTACTGGAGAGTCTGAGAACTTTGGAAAAGCAGGGTCAAGATAGTTTTTAAAATTGAAACAAGGCAAAACAAAAATTTAAGAAATGATTTTCATTTTGTAAAACCTTGAAGTCAATTATTTTTATAAAACCAAAAATATCTTGGCCAGTTGATTAATGTTAAAACCTATAAAGGAATGCCTTATATGTGATTTCAACATCATAGCAGTTCAGATGAAATAAATCTATGTAGTTTAAGTGTACTGGTATCTAAGAAAATACCCAACACCATATCTGTCCCCTTGCTACTTTTAAAAGTGGTCTACAATTAATTTTTTTTTTTTTTTTGGTGAAGGAAGTATTGGCTTTACTTATTCATATATATTGTTTTCTTATTTTGTTGAAAAAAAGGAAAACATATCATCTGTGGAAAAAAACTTGTTTTCTAGAAGAAATACTGAAATCAGTATTTGCTGGAAAGTATTTTCAGTGTAAAACAAATGATATTTTAGCTTTTTTTAAAGCTCTAATAATTAAATTAGAAGAAATGAGGAACTTGAATAGTTTATAAATAAGCTTGACATATTTTTGAAGTTGTTTATTATAAAATAAGAACTTTGCTTACAACTTGCTAAACACAGGTGAGATTATGTAAACCAAGACAGTCTTGAGAGCAGAAATGTTATGTGTGCCTTTTTAGTGTGTCTAAGTAGAGCAAATTTAAAAATTCCTTCATTAATTCAACTATATTTTAATATTCACTTGATTATTTTCTTGATGAAGAAATCAATTGTGATCATTGTTGTGGTTTGGAGTTTTGCAAGGGGAACAATATAATACAGGACACATATTTTGTATTATTTATAATAGTCACCCAAAAGATCATATACAAAGAGAGTGCAGGATATCTGTTTACATACCACAACCAAAGACTCCAGCTGAGGGCCTCGATCCCACTGTAATGTCCTGCATGAGTCCAGCTGAAGACCTAGAGTCCATAACAGTGCCTCCCTGGAGTCCAACTGGAGGCCTAGAGCCCATGACAATGTCTCATGCAGGCCTGTTTCATGGATCTGTTCTAGAAAGGCCCAAAGGTCAGTGGCAGAAGCTAGAAAGTCTGTGCCAGTGGGACAAAGGATCTGTGCTAGCAGGCTGAAGGTTGTGAACTTGTGCCAGGAAGCCACACTCAAAGTAAGAACAAGAGCTCTTCTGAAAAGTACCACAGCCATCCTCAGTACCAATGAGGTCACAAACTCCTCCGATGATGAGGACTCCGAGTTCCCATCAGGAAAGCCAATGTGACAAGCTTCTCCTGGAGACTGAGCAGTGCACCATCTTCCCCTCCAGAGCCAGGAAGTGATGCTCAAATTGAGGACCAGAGTGCCCCCAAAGTGAACTGCAGCCATTCTCAGGGACAATGAGGTCCTGAGCTCCTCCTCCCATAAGAACAGCTGAGTTAATCAAGAAAGCCAGCATGACAAGGTCCTCCAGCAGAATAACCCAAGGGTACCAGCAGCTCCTTACTGGCTTCCCAACAGCTTATACCAGCTCCCAACAGCCTGTCTTGTTCTCTGGTTCTGCCTCTTATGCTGCTGACAACCAT